TTCATTGTTTGCTTATAACTGGAGTCACTTAATCACGCAGATTTATGCTACAAGCTTTTGTAGAATTGTACAGTAAGAAAGTTATTTCCCTTAACCAGGAAATTAACGTTCTTAGAATTGACAAGACAGTTGACCCTGAGAGGTCAGCTAAATATCTACAGCGGATCTAAAATATTCATAATTAATTGTAACTAGTTATCGTTAATTATTCATATTTCCCCTGAGCTGATTCGTTACATTTGTTTTACTTTATTATCTTTTATTACTTTTATAATTTTGTTTATTTTGTTTGTTTTGTTCCTTTTTTATTATTTTATTTTAATTAAAAATTTTAATCAGGGTTCTCTCCCCCTTTTCTCTCTCACTTTACCACTCACTTATTTACATTTAGTTTAAACAGTGTTTGAATTCAAATTTAAAGTTAATTTCTGTATTCTAGCCATTTTTGCTCACCTATAGGTAACACTCCCTCTAGTGCTTAGTTGGGGAAGTGGCAGTTGCCTCCATGGCGGATCACAGTGAGCTGCCACGGGATCCAGACTGAATCACCTCAATCCATCACTAAGCCTAGCCATAGAATACTGACCCATCCAGCTAGCGCAACCCCAAAATCAGGTTGCTCCTCAATCTTTAAGGTAATTTAGCCGCTCCTGCTATCCAAGCAAGGTTGCCACACTAGATGTTATGACCCAGCAGCGCCTTCTACTCGGTAGGCTCTGTCATAACCCCTAACAGCAGTAAAAGGCTTAAGCCTGCTCTCTCCTTTATCTCTCTCTGTGTTTCGATTTGTTGGTTTGTTTGTTTTTCATTTTGTTCTGTTTTGTTTGCCTAGAGACTGAACCTTTGAGAATCATCAGGGAAGGCTGAGTAATAGATTGACGACCCAAGCTGCCAAAGTCTTTAGACGATCACGCTGTCAACAATCTTAGTTAGGTCCTTTCCGGTGCCCCCCACAACAATTAGACATACCGTGCCATTCACGGCCAAGATAACAGGTGTCTGGTCTACACTCCGCAAACTGTACTCCTCAAACAGACCGTGCATAGAACATATAATTACTATAATTGCAGCCTGCTAACGCTGTAAGGATTTGCATTGGCTTTTTCGTGCTGTCCCTCTCTCCCTCTCTCTCTTTCTCTCTCTGACACCACAGAGGAACTAAGTGAAAAACTTCAGCAAGCCGAGGCTCTCCTGAGGAGAGCAGAGACTGAACTCAAAGACAGAGACACCAGGGCCAGGGCCTGCGAAGGCCACCTGCAAAGTTCCCGGGCTGAAGTCAGTGCCCTGGCCCAACAAAGAGACTATTTAAAAAATGAACTTGATATGGTTCACCGAGAGCTTAAATATGCATATAGACTGCAAAGTGACTCTGAAAGGGAAATGCACACCACAGAATTTCCCCTAACCAGCAGATTGATACCTCCTAGCCAAGGGTTTCCAGTTCGAAAGGGGGGTGAGAGCCCACTGCTCAAGACATCACCTGCCAGCATCCCTGAACCCCCAGCAGCAGCAAGGGGGTGGGAGCCTTTTCAAAGGCTGTCTTCCAGTCACGGCGTGTCACCTAAAGAATTGGATAAGCTGGCTAGAAACATTCCCACTTTCACTCCAAACCCTGCAGGAGGCCACGATGTGCACGCCTACTTAAAAACATTGGACTTTCACTTGCAAACTGTTGCCAATGTTACCACAAGAGACAGACTCTATCTGCTCCGAATCACCGCCAGCCGTGAGGTGAGGAGCTTTCTAGACAGGCAGCCAGAAACGGTCGAAGGGGATTACCAGCAAATGCAGCAGGCTCTGATTAAGGAGTTCTCTGACCCAGAGTCAGAGCAAGGACTGATTACTGCCATGTTGCCATGGAAGGGCAGACAGGAAACCACACAGGCTTACTACAACAGACTCAGACAGGCCTACTTCGGAGCACGGAACGACGGAACGAGGGAACAGGATTTCAACTTCAAAACTCTGTTTCTCCGGAACCTGCACCCAACAGTGAGCCACCACTTGGGGGTTCTGGCTTGCCCACGGACTATGTCCACCCAACAGCTGCGAGATTTGGCCCACAAGGCCTATGTTAAACAAAAGACTGTTTCTGAAAAGACAGGAAAAACCCCCACAATCTATCCTGTCACTAATCAGAGCTCTGAACTTGCTCTAGAGGGCGCCGAGCCAAGCCACACTGACAAACCCGTCAACACAATGTCAAGGCCCTTCCCAACCAGCAGAGAGCAGCATGGCCATGGTGGTGCCCGTCCTAAGCACCAGTATGAGCGGCCCGAGAGATCCTGGGACAGGTCACAACCACCCCTCAACCGAAGGGGTGGAGCCACATGGGAAACCAAGAGACGGCCCAAGGGGAACCGACACTCACAGACACAAGCCCCGAGCTCGGACTGCCAGCAGCAGAACCCCTCTCAACAGGCCCTAGACAGGCCCAAATATAAACCATCCACAGAACAGAACCAGAAAGCTACATCTGAATCAGCAGAGATCATGAGACTTTTAAAGGAACTCCTCCAAGAAAAGCACCATAAGGAAAAGAAAAGGGATGAGTCAGACCAACTCTGACTAAGCATTAGCTCTGACCCCGACACCCACTCAGAGTCCCCTCAAAATGAACTTCCCAACCAGATCACTGCTAATCCACTGTTAACCACAGAACCAGATATCTCATCACCAAGTGGTGACATCACTCAACCACCTCAGCTGACGGTGGAACCGCCAGAACCAGCCAACACCCCGCAAC